ACTCAACTGTTTTCACATAGTGGAGTGAATATACCTCTGCACTTCTTTTCTAGTTTCTGAAACGACTGGAGTTGCATGTCGTTTCACGAAAAGATATTAGCTAGAATGCACTCTTAATGTTCAACCCATTGCATTTGGCATTATGCATCTGCAATATTGGTTGGGCCTTTTTTTCCCCCCCTTTATTCAGTCTTATGACTTTTACCAAGTTGGTAAACTTGAAGGGTTTTTGTTTTTGTCTTTTTTTTTTTTTTTTTGCTGCCTCTTCTAAACTCAATTTATAACATAATTCCAGTTTCCAATAATCTGCTAATTGGTTGCCTCTCAACCATCTACTGATTCATTCACTTGATAGAGATACAAAGCTGCAGGGCAAGACACCATTGTGTTGGCTGGAGCAGAGTACGGAAGTGGGAGCTCTCGAGACTGGGCTGCCAAGGGTCCGAAGCTATTAGTAAGTCTCAAATTTCATTTCTTGTCAGCATTAACATTCGTCTCCATTACATACCTTACACAAGTTTCAATTTTGTATCAGGGAGTTAAAGCAGTAATTGCCGAGAGTTTCGAGAGAATTCATCGCAGCAACTTGGTAGGCATGGGGATCATTCCACTCTGTTTCAAGCCCGGCCAGGATGCAGAAACACTGGGATTGACCGGCCATGAACGCTACACTATAGACCTGCCGAAAAAAATCGGCGAGATCAAGCCTGGCCACGATGTTACTGTTACAACTAACACCGGCAAATCTTTCACTTGCACGCTACGCTTCGACACAGAGGTACACACTCCATAATTCGGTCCACGAGATGACCATGGTTTAGTTTGTTTCGTTTATTGAGCTTAACGCAAACTGTGTTTTGCAGGTGGAGCTGGCATATTTTGACCATGGTGGTATTCTCCAGTACGCCATTCGAAACCTGATCGAGCAGTAGTTTTTCATTGTAAATACCTTTACAACGTTGCATGAAATGAGCACGAGCAAGCAAGCAGCAGTTTTGTATTGCAACATTTTTAATCACTATTTTAATTGATTTCCATTTTATATGTATTTGTTCCATCTGTTATATAGAGAATTCTGTTTCCGAACTCTTCGTTACTCAAGCTTTCATGGTTTTTTTTTTTTTCCTCTTCTTTTAAGTTTGTTAGTCGTCGTTTTCCTGCTTCTGATATCTTGTTTTTTGTGGTTTTCTTCGTTCATGTCGTTTTCAGTTGGTTGTCATTTTTAAGTTTATCGTTTTCAGGTGGTTTTCTAGGTGTCCTTTTCATAAATCTATGGTTTGTGGGCTTTTGGAAGTTTTTATAATTGCCGTCATTAGACTGCTTTTTTTGATGAGGTAGTTTTCCATTTTTACGTTAGCGTCATTTTTCAGCTAGCTGTGGCTGTTGTGCTTATCGTTTCTAAATCTTGTCGTTATCCGTCATTGCCCTTTTTTATTTTGGTTTTCAATTTATTTATTTATTTACTTCTTTTTTCCGCTCATTTGACGACTTTTCAACTTGTAGTTGATTTTCAACTTTAGTGCGATTTTATCAGCTATTGACCTTTTAAATTGGCTGCCGTTTATTATTTTATGGTCGTTTTTATGTTAAGTTTGTTTAATTTTAATGTCGGTTTTTCAATTTTGTTCGCGTTGCCGTTTCTTACTTTGAACGACGTGTAGTTTTTGTATGAACCACAATAAAATTTCAAAAAGAACTTTTATTTAGCATTCTCCTTAAATTTAAAATCACGCAATTACAAAAAAAAATTGAGAGAGGACACACACCTCTATATAATTTAAAGTTTAAAGGACACACAGAAAGATAATTTGTTGAAAAATGTGCATTCAGTATGAATTGAACTTACGAATTCACCAATTATGAGAGAAAGATACCAAAAGCAAGATGCGGGTCCCGTTCATTTCGCCGATTCGAGTTTAGAATTCGAGTTTTGCTACAGTAAAAAGCTCTCAGAAACAATCACATCTAACTTTTTTACTACAGTAAAAAGCTCTAACACAAAATCACATCTCAACTCGAATTACAAACTCGAATCAGCGAAGTGAACGGGGACTTGTCACATTATTTAAAACTTTTAACTAAGAAAATGTTTTATTAATTTTATGATTTTTAAAGTTTTAAATTTAGATAACAATACAAAAACACATGTTCTGTATAATTTTAGTATTTGAACGTGTTTAATCAATCATATTATATCAAGTTGTGTAAAAAAAAAAAAAAAATTTAATTATTTTTTTTTATACTTATCATGATGATATAATGTGGTATGATACTAATTGAGATTCTCCATCCATATTGCAAATCACAATCCTAACTGTAAGGATAACAAAAGAGACATACTTTTAGAGCACTAGCTTTTCAGTCTTCTTTTTGACGTGTTTTTATTTTCTCATTGCCTTTTTTTTTTTTTTTTTTTTTTTTTTTTTTTTTTTTACATATCTTCTCATTGCCTCTATTTTCATATGATAACCACGCAGATATTTTTTTTTAATAATTATATTAAAAATAACTCATTTTTGTTTTTCTTGTAGTGTACAACAATGCAGCTTCAAGAAAAAGACAATATTCCGATTAATCCTGCTTCAAATTTATCTCTGTCTTATGATTCAAACTCAAATTATATGTTTGATTTTTAGTGTCACGATTAGTGTCTAATCAATTACACGTCATTTAATAAATTTAAATGTAAAAAAATAAAATAATAATATTCATTTTTTTAATTGATTGATCTAAATTATTTGAAAATGTAATTCAATTTTTTAAATGTTATGGCAAAATCTAATCGAGTAAACACCAGTCTTATGATTCAAACTCAAATTATATGTTTGATTTTTAGTGTCACAATTAATGTCTAATCAATTACACGTCATTTAATAAATTTAAATGTAAAAAAATAAAATAATAATATTCATTTTTTTAATTGATTGATCTAAATTATTTGAAAATGTAATTCAATTTTTTAAATGTTATGGCAAAATCTAATCGAGTAAACACCATATTTATGGTAAAATCTAATTGACTAAACACTGGCCAATGGCTAGCTAAAGAAAACTGACAACATGACACGTCAACAAAGCAGAAATTACAGAAACTCAGACACGTGTTTACTAATATTCTCACTCTTCACACTTTCTTTTCTTCTTAGCTGATGATATATCCTCCATCTCTATATCTATATTATTCTTAGGTAGAATGTTACATCGTCGTTTTTCTTTATCTTCCTTTTCCTTCGTCAGTTTCCTTACTCAACGACGTTCAGTTTTGTTTATGAGAGCTCTCAACGAAAGAATATGGCTACTCTTGGTATGTAATACATACACACACATATATATATATATATGTAAATATATAACATATATATTATGCAAGCGATCGCTTTTAAACTTGTTAACTAGTAAAACATGTAGTACTGATAATTATTTTGTTGTGAATAAGTGAGAATTTTGGGCTAGTCATGTTGCCTTTAATTAATATTAGCTCAATAACTTGAGCATTTTTTTCTATTACTTTTTCTTTTCTTTTCTTTTCTTTTAAGGGATAATTTTTTTTGTTAAAACTATTTTCTTCATCTACAGAACACCCTTTCAAGGACATACTGACCAGTCTTCCAAAGCCTGGAGGTGGCGAATTTGGAAAATACTATAGTTTGCTTGCACTTTAATGATCCGAGAATTGGTATGTTTTTTACATCTATAAACTTTATCTACTTGTATGTGAACTTACTGATTTAGTGAATGTTTAGTTCATGAATTCAGAACTATGATTCAGAATTATTCTCGTTTTACGTGTGTTTTTTATGCGAGAAAAATACTGTTGAGAAACATGAATCATGATTCAGAATCAGGGACGAATACAGAAACAAACGTCCTCTTAAAGATTTTGTGTTGATTGATGGTGCATTATATGTTTGAGTTGCAGATTAGTAAAAGTTGTCGTTTCTTAAGTTTTTCTGAGTTGCATATTAGTTGTCGTTTCCCTAGTCTTAATGTTGTTGGCCGTTTATGCGACATAAAAGACCAACAATACTAAAATTTAGAAACAACAACTGATCTGCAACTCAGAAGATAATACATCAAGATAACACTAATGGATTGAGTTTATATGTCCTCTTATTCGTGTCTCTTTGTGTCCCCTAATAAGATCATATGCCATTCTTATTCGTGTCCCTAATACCATTTTTATAACTTTTTAATTGATGATATATGAAACTTTAATTGACGTGACATGATATTAATAGAGGAACATGAGAAAGAAAAAGGGGATACGAGAGTGGATTCCAACAAAAATTCTACACGCATCAATTTTATACATATAGAAAGCGTGCATATATTATATACAAACATATACATATTTCTCTTCTTTATTTTTTTAGATTGAACTTAAACCGTAATTAAGCTTTTTGGTTCTATGGTGTAAATGGTTTAAAGAAGTATGTTTTGATCATTAATCTGTACAATAATTGTATTTACCATTTGAAGTTTATGCCTTTCGCTTATGCAGAGAGACTGCCATACTCAATAATGATACTTTTGGAATCAGCAATACGCAATTGTGACAATTTCAAAGTTAAAAAGGATGATATTGAAAAGATCATTGATTGGGAAAAAAACTTCACCTAAGCAAGTAGAAATCCCTTTCCAATCTGCCCGTGTTCTTCTTCAGGTTTGATTCAATTTGATGGTTGTTATATCATTATTTTCAGTGACAGAAAAAAAAAAAAGAAAAAAAGCCAGGACTTTACTGCAGTACCAGCTGTGGTTGATCTCGCCTGTATGAGGGATGCTATGAAGAATCTTGGAAATGACCCTAACAAAATCAATCCATTGGTTTGTAATTTTCTCCATCACATTTATTTTGAAATTATCTTTTGTTCAGGGTAATATTTGAGTTTGAAGTGATGAATCCACTAGTAGAACTCACCATTGACAACCGACTTGAAGGAGGAGGGGACTCGAAGGCTTGTAAGCCAACTAATTACCTTGTCATTAATTTATGTGGGACTTCTTAGTTTTTAGTATGCAACATTTCACCACCTTCGCCACTGCTGTCCACGGCAGCCCATCTTGTCAACTACTCGGATCCTTTTCTATCGGCAGTAGCCCTCCTCAGGTTGCCCCATTTGTAGCACTAGTCATAGACAGTGACGGAGCCGACCTTTCACTTCAATAGGGGCGTAAATTAAATTTGTTTAACAAATTATCTTAGTAGGGGTATATAAAAAAATATATTTATTTTAGTGGAAACATATATTATTTTAATGATGACTTAAGTGTAAAATTTTAAAATTTTTAAAGGTAATATTTTTTTAAAAATATTTAAATGGGGGCGGCTGCCCCCACTCCTCTTCAAGTGGTTCGCCACTGGTCATAGAACCTTGGCTTATGCTACACATTTGATCCCACGCTCGACATGGTGGTTTTCACAATCGACCACACTTAGGCCCAATTTCGCAGCGGTCCAAATTATCAACGTTCGCCCAAGTCATTACCAAGACACCTTAATCTAGCTTATAATGTAATCATTTTAACTTGAATCCACGATGTAATAGACCGACTCTGGTACTAATTATTACAAATTTAAGGCTTATAAACCCATTAATTATCTTATATAATTAATACGTGGGACTTTTTGGTATGTAACATTTGATTTATCAAATGTTCATGTTGTGTTTCATTTAAATTATTTTCCCAGTAAAGGCACCTATAGCTACTAATGAATGAACTACTATAGTAACCCATTTCTCGTATTTTCTATTAATGATGCTCCAATGATTCTTTACCCTTTTCTTCTAAGGATAATGTGGAATAAGGAAATGCTTTTTTTTTTTTTTTAGGTTCCAGTGGATCTTGTAGTTGATCACTCGGTCCAAGTTGATGTAGCAAGAACTGAAGACGCAGTACAGAAAAATATGGAACTCGAATTCGAGAGAAACAAAGAAAGATTCGCTTTCCTCAAATGGGGTTCATATGCTTTCAACAATATGCTTATTGTTCCTCCTGGTTCTGGAATTATCCACCAGGTAAATATGGCAGAAACAAATTCACATAAACATAAATCATTTGTGTTATAAAAGATGTCATTTGTGTTATAAAAGATATCACATTAAGCACGACTAACTAGTGATGAAATCTGTAGGTTAATCTGGAATACCTTGGGAGAGTAGTTTTCGAAAGTGATGGAATTCGCCACCCGGATAGTGTTCTCGGTACTGATTCCCACACAACTATGATTGATGGATTAGGAATTGCTGGCTGGGGAGTAGGAGGAATTGAAGCAGAGGCTGCGATGCTTAAGCAGCCTATGACCATGGTGCTTCCCGGGGTTATCGGATTCGAGTTGTCCGGAAAATTGCGAAACGGAGTTACAGCTACTGATTTGGTGTTGACTGTGACACAAATGTTGAGAAAGCATGGTGTTGTTGGCAAGTTTGTTGAGTTTCATGGTAAGGCATCTTATTTGGAACCATAAAAGTCAGTTACATGCGTTTCTGACTGCTTTTTTTGTAACTCCACTTTTAGTCTCCGAACTATAGCCAAATCCCATTTTGGTCTCTACTTGCAATAAAATAAATTTTCAAAAATTTAGGGGGCATGTATTAAAAATTTAGAAAAACCATATTTAAACAAACAAATTTTCAAAAATCCAGTGGGGGCATATGCTCCCTCTGCCACTGGTTGCTCTCTCTCTCTTCAATGGCGTTCGTGTGTTGGGAATGGTATCCTAAAAGCATGAGATGTAATATTATATTTATTATTTATTTAATAAAAGAGTTTATTTATTATTTTATGTGCATATATTATTGAAAATATTATGAATATCACTGAAAATTTTATGATTATTTATATGACCTTAAATATTGAATATAAGTGTTATATGCGAGAGGATACTATTTAAGGATAATAATCAAAACAATGTTCGTAATGAATTTAATTAAAGTTTGGAATCTTTAATTAAAACATTACTAATATATATCATTCCTATTTAGAATGGAACGGTGTTATCCACACTGTTAATATGGAAGATATTGAATGAGTGTATTACGTATAATGAGATTATGTAGAACATGGACATAGACACAATATGAATTTTTGATAATTTATGTAAGTATAAACATTCTAATTGAGTCTACTGATGGTCATATATAGAATGATCTTAACCTTGAGTTATTAGCATATTCCTATTTGTGGATTTATGTCTTTTGATTTACTCAGTACGGATTTTGAGATGTTGAATCTTATTCCTTGTATTTTGGAGACATGATGAAGTGAGTAGCCGAAAATGTTATTATACAAGATGGAATCCATTCTTTCTTGAGAAAGAAGTAGATAAATAATTCTCTTGTGCGTTGATTCGGTACTTAGACTAGTAGGAGCTCCGATCATGAATTTGTTTTATGAATCACTGTCCATTAGAGAATCAATGGTACTCAAGGATAAAGATGTAATTATAGAGATTAATGGATTCACCTAGCTCTAATTATGAGTTATTTACGGATGATTGATCTATATGTAATGACTATATCAAATGGTCACTTCACAGTTTAAAAGTAATTTATATCTATAATTACGTGTGTGCAATTCTAAGTTTATAGTAGAGTAACTCTTAGAATTAATAAAATTAATTAATTAATTGAAGAGTTTAATTAATTATTAATTTTATTGGAGCTCAAAATTATAGGTCCATGAGTCCCCGCGTCCTCTTTGTAATCCTACAAGACACTAAGGGTAAAATAGGAATTTTAGAATTATGAAATTCTAAAATAAAACACTCAAGAATAATTAATTGAGAATTAATTTTAAATCAAATAATGTGATTATTTAAATTTAAATTTGAATTTTAGAGTACAAATGTGAAGGTGTTCACATAGTGTGAATACCCAGCATAGTGTGAATCCCTATGGCATTCAGTTGCTTGCTCTCCAAGTTATCCATTTGACTTATTTGATAAGTTACCCAATTTAAAATTCAAATTAATTTATGTTTGACTTAAATTAGAATTTGAATTTGAGTCAAAATTGGACTGCATGATAAATGCAGAATTTTACCATATTCTTTACCTGCAGTATGTGCCTACCACAGGGTAGGATTCCCCTATGGTGGCTGGTCAACATATGGATAAGGGAGAGTGGATTTTGTTTCAAAATCAAATTAGAAGTGAGAGATAATTATCAAGCTTTATCTTAGAGATAAAGATTAAACTTCTTCTAAGAGTCTGACTACTACTCTATAAATAGGAGATTGTAGAAAATTAGAGAACACAATTTTTGCTCTCCTAAGCATATAGTGGTCGAATTATAGAGTGTGTGGAAAGGAAAACGTTTCTCCCAAATTTCACGCCGTGCATGTATTGGTGTTCGTTGAAAACTTGAGTGTTTATTTTCTAATCCCGTTTTATTTCAGGTGTGCCCACACACACGTCTTCGTAGATTCAAAGAATTGACGAGAAAGATTCGGGTGTTCTAAACTAGCTTAGAGCAAGGAATTTTCGTGGTTAAAAAACTCAAGTTATCGACCTAATCGTTCGCCAGGTAAATAAATTAATTAGATTAATTTATTCGTGCATAAATTAATGTAATATATAGAGTATCTTAAAGTTTTATGAAAATTTTGTTATACACGATCTGCTTCATACACGCTTCCGCATCCAAAATCATTTCAGAAACCAACATCATGAAGCTGCATCTACAACTCCGATCTCTTCATGTGTGTGGACGCCACCAATCTCATCAATGAGGACAACTTCGAGATCCTCTCGCTGCCGGCAATCTTTCCCACCTTTTTGCTCCCAATTACGACTCCTCCACTCCGAAAACCTTGATGATTTCTATAGCTATGGGCCCAGATCGACTTGTTCTCGCTATCTAAAGCATTTGGTGCCAGTGGTGTACACCACCACACATAAGAAAGCGAAATCCGACAATGGCATAATGGGAGTCCGGCGACATTCTGGCAGTGGTGCTTTGGTGAGATTCTGTCAGGGAAGCTAGTTTCGTTCTCTTCATCTCGTCACCTTAAGTCCGTAGAGACCAAAATCACCTCAATCAGAGGTCAAACAACGGAGATATCACAATCAAAAGTTTTTAAGTGTTTCAAAACTTCAGCTGTCAAGTGCGACCTCCTTCGGCGGAATTGGCAGCTGCAAGGCACAGTTCAAGTTTCAGCTCGTCGAGAGGTTTTCGATGAGCTAGGAAGTGTCGAAAACAGGCGTCGAAACTCATCAGAGTTTGTTGGTTGTGCACAGAGAAGGGAAGAGAAAATGAGAGACAGAGATCATAAAAAAATACAAAACAAAAAAAAAAACTGTTAGAGAAATAAATATTTTACAAAATATGAAAGATAACATATGAAAAGATAACCTATAAAATATGAAAGATAACATATGAAAAGATAACCTAGAGAATATGGGAAGATAACTTACAAGATATGAAAAATAACCTACTAGATATTAATGGCATAAGATAAAGTTTAGAACAATGGCAAAAATAAAATAGACTAAATAGTGTTAAGAAAGGACATGAATGTCATTACGGGTTATTTACGAACTTATGTGCAAATATTATAACTTGTGGACATTTATTTTTTCAACTCTTGCATAAAGGACACATATGTAGTTAACTCTAACAGAAAACCCGTGTTTATACAAAACTTTTATACTCCGTGTTTTAGAATTTATCTTCAATTTAACACGTATTAATTAATATGTTTATTTTATAGTTATTGAGATAATATTATTCTAATATAACCTTTTCGTATGGGTGGTTAACAAATGATAGGTAATGATAATACGTTATTTTACAGAATTATGTGCAATTATTATAATTTATGGACAATCATTTTTTCAACTCCTGCATAATGGCCATATATGTAATGAAAGAAAACTAAAAATGTCATCATTAAAATAACACTATTTTACTTATGTCATTGTTATAAATTTATCTTATGTCACTAATAACCTGCATGTTATTTTTTTATAATTTATAAGTTATCTTTCGTAGTCCGTAAATTATTTTTTGATTATTTTTAAGTTATCTTTTCATAACTTGTAAGTTGTGAAAACGTAATCTACAGTTATTTTGTACAGTGACATTATAATTTTATACAGTGTTATAAATAATAAAATGGGGGAAAATAATGTTAAACTTAAAATTTTATCATATAGAATTAACTCAATTTTCATTTCAGTTGGAACTTGTTAGGCGGAAGTCCAATTGTTTACTATATGCAGGGCCCTAAATGGGCTCACCGTCCACCACCATTCCAAAAGCCCAGCCCATTTAGCTTTTTTGCTTGGGGACTTCGTCGTCTTCTCTGCGCTCGACAACGCTTTGAAGATCAGGTCTGTTCTCTGGTTTTCCCGTTTACACTTTGCTCAGCCACACTTTCTCTTTCCTCTCAGGTAGATTTTCTTTTTCCCTGAATTTAATTCCACTCAATTTCTCTCCTTTCTATTCTCTGTTTTTTTTTTTTTTTTTGCTTGATCTTTGTTGAAATTCATGGTTTTTTTTTTCTTTTTTGTGGCGATCTATTCCGAGAAATTACCATTTGGATCTGTTTCCAGTGATCCGAATTTTCAATGTTTTTGGAATTTACTCTTTTTTTTTCCAAATTAAAATTTGATTAATTTGAGAACTTCTGTTTCTGATCACTATCTAGAGCTAGTTTTGGTTTTTCAACTTTTTATTTTTTATTTTTTTACATTTAATTTGTATCGAGTTTTTCTAAGATCTGTTTTTGAATCATTTATAGCTTAAACCTTCAATGAATTTACTTCGATGCAGTTCTTTTGCCTAATTAGAGTTTTTTTTTTTCTGATTTGATAGATTGGTGTCGTATAATTGAAGAATGCCGTCGGCTCAAGATCCATTCTACGTTGTAAAAGAGGAGATTCAAGAATCTGTAAGTTTTTTTTTTTTTTTTAGATTTTGTTAATAGAAGCTCTTATTTAAGGATTCAGTTTGTTTTATATTGTGAATTTACTTAAGCTTTTTGTTGGATCAAGTTCCATTTTTCGTATTTTTTACTTAAAATATTTGCTAAGATAACCATGAATGGAATTGTGTAGCAAAATGGATATATTGGTGTGGTTGGTTTTTTTTTTTTTTTTTTTTTTTTTTTTTTGGGGTCCAAATATGTAGGAGCATTTCAATTTATTTTTTTGGTTTGTTTTGTTGTTAGATTGAAAAGTTGCAATCTTCCTTTCATCAATGGGAGCGAATTCATGCCAATACCGGAGAGCAAATACACCTTGCAAAAGAGCTACTTGCTAGTTGTGAGAGCATTGAGTGGCAGGTAAATCCAATGTTAACATTATTTAATTAATACTTTGTCTCATTTTCCTTGAATTTTTGTAGTGTGATATTGGAGAACTTGTGATACATAGTTCCCTATGAATGTTTCGAGTCGAAGGGACGGTTACTTGTGTTTATTGATGCAATGTTGATCAGATGTTTGTTCCGTTAAGGCCAAGACTTGATAATAGTTAGAGATCATTGTTATATATGATTACTAGTAGTAGTCTCATAGAAATAAGGATTGTTATGACTTTTGCCTTGTGCCTATTTGTTCACGAATTCAATGTTCTATGCAACTACTAAAACCCTGCTTTTTTGATAGGAAAGGTGGATGAATTGGACAAAACAATTGCTGTAGCCGCCAAGGATCCTGCTTTATATGGCATTGATGGGATAGAACTTGAAAAGCGAAGGAGATGGACCAGCAATGCTCGTACTCAGGTATTGTTGGCATAACTGTATTCTATCGAAACTTTTCAGTGATATTGAAAGCTTGAACAAATATTCAATGGAGCCTGTCATTGCTGTTTGATGTTTTACGGGATTTTTTCTTCTTTTTTTATTCTTTTTTTGGTGTAGTCTCTACATACGTTATTATTTGCTATAGTTTTTCTGTTTTTACAAGCGTCTGTAAATCTTCTAAAGAACTGCAATATTTTACCAGGTGAGCACAGTAAAGAAGGCAGTTAAAAGAGGAAAGGAAGCGAATGGTACTGGCACTACGTCTGCTAACGCGATGCATCGAGAACTAATGAGGCTGCCAAATCTACATGAGACAGATAGATCTAACCCGTATTCTGCCCATGACAATGACGATTTTATAGCATCAGAATCAGATAGACAGTTGCTTCTTATAAAGTATGATCTTCTTCTTTCTTTCTTCTATAACCTTACCTTGGCTTTATATTTCTTATAAGTGAATGAGAACCCTTTAGTCGTCCTGTCCATAAGGCATACACTGATGTATCTTGTTTGATCTTGTATCGTTGAAAATTGTTGTTTCTAGGCAACAGGACGAGGAGTTGGATGAACTTAGTGCAAGCGTACAGAGAATTGGAGGTGTTGGGCTTACTATACATGAGGAGCTCCTTGCTCAGGTTTTAATTTAGATCACATTTCCTTCTGATGGCTCTACCACAATTCAGTGGCCAAAAAATAAGAAAGATTATTTCATAAGTTAAACATTTAATACAGCCTTTTACGTTAAAATTTTAATCCTCTGTCCAGGAGAAAATCATAGATGAATTGGACATGGAAATGGACAGCACATCGAACCGTCTTGATTTTGTTCAGGTGAGTCTTTGGATATAGGTCTGATCTGATCATTGATTCATTGTTATCCAACCTATGAAGAAGTGAATTCAGCTGTAAATTATGAAGCTAGCATATGTTATTGGTCCATTACTTGATGAAAACATCCCTTGTGATTTTCATTGCAGAAAAAAGTCTCTATGGTGATGAAGAAGGCTGGTGCTAAAGGCCAGATTATGATGATATTATTCTTGGTAGTCCTGTTCATTATCCTTTTTGTGTTGGTCTTTCTCACCTAGCGGAAAGAATAAAGCCTGTATGCGAAGTTTATACATAGAAGAGGTATCGGTTCATTTAGGAACTTTTGGACTGTTGAAGAATATAGATGATATGATTGGTGATCTAGGTTTGTCTATTAAGAACTGGCCTGGAAATTCTGATCCGAAAAGCCAAAGGTCCTTGAAAGTTCTTTACAATTTTTGAAGTTGACTATTTTTGAGTTTGAACATGGAGTATCAAATATATGTAAAACAGCTTCATATTATTGGTATTTGTTTATTCCATGTCGAATTTTCTATCTCGTGTCATTGTATGCGCTTTGAGAATATTTTAGTTTCTTAATTTTAGTGCATGTCTGAACAACCGCAAAAATGCCATGTTCTTGGATTAGTTGATCTCCCGTTGTCGATGCAATTGTGCGACCGGTTTTCCATTCGAGAGGGGAACGATCACTACTACACAATTATGATTCCAAAGTTAGAGAGGACTAAGACCTCGTTTGATAGTAGGGAAAAGTGAAAGGAACGAGACAAGGGAGGGGCGTGGTCTAAGGATCTGGCTCATGGTTGGGAGAGAAAAGAGGAGGGATTTTAAATCCTTCAAAGTGCCCCAATTTTAATCTCCTAAATACAGCGAGATTAGATTAAGAAATTCATACCAAACACAACAAGAGAAACATCCTTTCATTATTCGCTTTTTTTCCATTTTTCCTGATCTAGGTTTTATGTCTTTCTTTCCTTATCAAACATAGCTCAAGAGTACCTCTAATAGACCATTTGGTTTGCGGGAGAGGACCAACTCCTTTGGGATGAGGGGGTGGACAGGGACAGATGCAATGATAAAGAGCCCCTCTGGGCCAACAAAATATAATCCCTCTACTTTGGGTTGCTCTCCGCAATTGACATTGACTGCCACCGCCACCGCCACCGAGATTGGTGGTTGTGGTTCAATGTCGTGTCATTACCAGACTTTTCTGGTAAAAAAAACTAAAACCAGTGCTTAGTGTGTAGTTTCATTCTTCATTTTGGGGGGCTTACACCAAAATGTATTTAAGATAGCGAGATTTTTGAAGGAAATGATGCCGTTTTGGTACACTAGCTAAATGGTATCATTTTAAAATCGCTTCCAAAAAAAGAAAAAAAAAAAACCCCCCTAAGTCCCTCAAATTCATCTCATTTTTTCAATTCTCACTTTGTCGCGCTTATGCATTATATTTTATACTACTACCCTCCTTTCTTAGTCCCCTCAACTCATTTTCACTATTGGTGCAGTCAACATCTAATTGTCAACTCATCAGTAGAAACCGACCAAAGCTATGCACCAAAGACGATGAACACTCCTATTCATCCCCATGATTAGATGGGTCCCACTAGGTCGATAGATGTAACCCAACTTAGTGAGACCCATCATCATTTTTATAGTGAAAGAGGATAAATCCCCGTGAGGATGCAAACCATTTTTGATAGACAATAGTGATGGTTTGGTGCCGTGTCCTCCTTTAGTTGACGTACATGAGAACATTCCGAACATTCCGACCTCTACTAATGGAAGGATTCCAAAAATCCATCAATAAAAGGTAAAAAAAAAGGAAAAATTACCTTCAAAAAAATAATAACAAATGATGAAATAGGTAATATAGCAATCAGATAGTTAACTATTCATCGGCTCCCCATTCCTTTTACTAGACAACTAAGAAGGATATTTCCATAATCCTCTACATTATTCACATTTTCCCCATTTCTTAATCTTACAAGTCTTGTAAAATTTTAGACTTTGGAGAGAACGAAATTACCCTTGAGATTGCAGGGTTTTCTACAAGCAGGCCAAGATTGATGCACTTATTTATTCCATAATTATCACATTAGGCAGCAAGACATCATTCTCTCTCAAAATATAGACACATTGCACAGATTTTACAGCAAAATTACAAGAAAAAGAAAAAAGAAAAAAGAATTGCACATTCCTGGCTAATGCAACCAAAAAAGAAAAAAAAATGAATTAGCTCCGATTGTACAAGGACTTGCTCGCTTGTGAGGCGAGGGCAAGCGCCTTAGCTCTTGCATCTATCGTCATCCACTCCCTCTCTGCGCGCCGCTGATGTTGCCTGGCATTTTTCGCTCGTTTTGGAGCCAATTTGGTATCCCTTTCCACAAATGCAAGTCTAAATTTTTCAGCAATGGACAACTCTGCAGAATTTGAGAGTAGCGCAGGTGTGGCCCTTGGTATAGACCCCCGAAAAGCCCATGTTTTGGGATCTATATCCTCAACAACAGGGTCATCTAGTGCAATATCAGGTAATGCTTCCGTGGGAACTTTGGTACCTCTGAACCCAAAGGGTGAGGGTTTGGGGTTTACTATGATGCGCGGGCACTCGGTGGAGAAACTTTCCAATGTATTTTTATCAATCTTTGGCTGCAAAAGGGAGGAAACTTAAGAAAAGGAAAACATAAGACACCTGAAGAAAAAGGTAAAATCTATCTCTTGACACGAAAGAAATTTCTTCGTTGGCATCTACTTTATACATTCCTATTGGTTTCTTTGACAAGAAAAAGTATCCATACCCACACAAGCCACCGCAATGATTCTGCGCCATTAGCAATAGCTGCGGTATCAAGTTCTTCCCAGGAATCTCCCTCTACATCATTCAGCTTTGGTTTGAATAGTTGCAAGCATCTGCGGGCAGTTTGGTCACTCCTCGGGCACCCTCTGCAACATTAACTTTGGTTCATATCCTGTTATTAGGTTTGTACTACTAGTCAAAAAAGATTGCTACATAGTTGTAAAAGCAAAAGGCAGTTCGTAACATTGTGATGTTATTTAAATGTTTTACAGTACTTAATTCTGAACATATATCATATTCTAGGATAGAAATCAATTCCTATGATGATTTGAAAAAATTCACAAAATAGTGGTCTTCCAATATGTCTCACTTCCAGTTCCCTACTTCTCTCATATGAGAAAGTACCGAGTACAGACCCATCCCTAGGGATATACCGTATACGAGCGTCATGCTTAAGAAGGATTGTTGGTCAGTAGCCAAAATTTCAAACAAAATTGATTTTTGCAAAGAAAATTTCCAATATGTTATAAAAGTAAGATTACCCGCAACGAAAAGTCTCCAAAGAACGACAATGCTGCACTAATTCAGAAACACCAGCTGTAGTAATGCTGCTACACCGACTGCACAAAGCTTATCTCAGTACAATTGAATATTTTCAGAACCAAATAAGGGTTTTATGTTACAGAGATAGTTACAAGCAAAAAAAAATCACTAATCATCTTTAATTAGATTTGATAGAAGTTCAAAAAAGCAATAGAAACTAAACAAGGGGGAAAAAATTCCACACCTTATATCCACAGCTTTTAGAGACTTGCAGATTTGAGCCACTTTTGCTAATCCAATATCCGAGACATCCGAACCAGAGATGTCTAGAATTTCCCAGGAACAATCGGCTAGAGAGACAATAACCTCATCGTTCAGTAACTTCCTTCTTCTAGCAATTGTAGCAATTACCATCTGCCATTCAGAAATACACACAAGCTTTGTTCAACATTAGGAAAAACACAGAACCCTCAAACGAAAAACTTTATCTCAGCTAGATAACCAAAAACTTGGTGCCAATCATATACATATATATATATATATATATACACACACATACATACATATAATATATATTATAATATGATTCATCGAGTTTTGTCTACAGTCCTGAAAAATGTAACGTGACATTTGTTCAATGTTCAACGCAACATTGAAGTTAGAAATGTGTAAAAATGGTTTTGACAACATTTCTTGGTGTTACGCACGTCGAACACAAGTGTTACGCGAAATAAATGGTATGTTGCACTATTCACTTCTACATGTCTTTTTATAAACTCAATCAAATGAAGAGCAATTATACAATCACCATGAAAAATTTATCGTGAACGTCATAAATACATGCATGTAAAAATTCTGTAGGTTTCTTAAAAATTAAATGACTGATTTATCCCAATTTTTTTATGTATCATTTTCTTATTATAAGCAACCAAATTTCTCTATCCTTTGCTGCTAAACCATAAAAATCTCTTCTACATCCTCACACAAACATGTTAATCTTTGCTTACATATCCTAAGTATTGACCCAAAAAAGAATAATTTAAGCATAAAAACTTGCTGAAAATACAAGAAAGAGAGAGAGAGAGAGACAACCTTAATATCAGCTGGAAAATTGACGGCGATGTCAGCCAAGTCCGGAATTAAATCTTCCAAATGCTTTCCGACGAGTCCGAGGCACAAGCTCACTAAACTCGCCGGCCCTTTCTTCTTCGGCGATTTTCCTGTCAATCACCAAATACTTTTTATATCCACAATATTATATATATATATATATATATAAACACACACACACACACATATATATAGAGAGAGAGAGAGAGAGGAGTACTGGAAGATTGAGAGGGAAAAATCGTCGGATTGGTGGGCTTAAAATCGGATCCGGTTTTCAAATCGAGCACTTTTACAGAATCTGTGATGAATGATAAGTTTTTTTCCCTTTCCATCAATTATCAGAAAAGAAAAAAAGAAATCCTTTTCGAGAGAGCGAAAGGAAAATTTTCAGATAAGGACACTCGCCGTCGACCAAAATAGATGGCCGGGGGTTGTGAAGAGGTTTTTCTTATATCAAAGCCGACTGTTGCAAAATAATATCGATTTTTTTTTTTAAATTATCCTAAAACATAAAGGTGTGTTTAGAATTAGTTTTAAAATTATTCTATTTTTTGTATGAAATTAAAAATAAAAATATTTTTAATGACAGATAAAAATTATTTTAAAAATGTGTTTAATAGTAAATTAAGAGATTATTTTTAGTATAAGAAAAAAATTAAAACTCCGTTTGATTATACAATTTTTATTTTTAATTTAAGAGCACTTCATTAGTTTATTTAAACCCACACTTACTTGTCAAAAAAAAAAAACCCCAAAACTAAAAATGAAAAACGACTTAAATTCGTTTTCAATTTTTAAGTCATTTTACACTAAACCGAAAACCGTTTTTGTTTTCATTTTTTTCACTTTTTTCCTCCAAACGTGTTTTCCTCCTCAATCTTTGCTTTTTTGTCTCGGAAAACGTAAAAAATAAAAACGAAACTGATACCAAACACACTCAAAGTTTATGTTTGGTTCGTTAGTTCAAATTTTATTGATTTAAATTTTTTTATTTGAACAACAAAATTCAAACTGTGTGGTTAAAATTGTAGTTCGAATTGGTGTTTGGATGTGCAGTTAAAATTTTAATATGAATAGAGAATAAAATTTGAATTTGTATTTAGTAGGTGTGATAAGTATACAGAGTTGGCACCTTTTTGCTGTTCAAAAATAGTTTGAATAGTTAAACTTATGGGGAACTAACTCTAAGTTGGACAATTTAAGCCCCAATTTGGTTTGCTAGTTTGAATTTTGTTGATTTGAACTTTTAAATTTGAACATAAAAATTCAAACTGTGTAGTTTGAATTGTAGTTTAAATTGACGTTTAGATATATAGTTAAAGTTTTAATTTGAACGTGGAATAGAATTTGTGTTTAGTAGGTGTGAAAAGCAGAGAGAGTGAACACTTTTTACTGTTCAAAAATGGTTTGAATTATTGAACTTGAGGGGGAGCTAAACTCTAAGTAGTACCGTTCAACTTAGTTCAAACGGTGAATATAATTCAAACTGCATGCTTACCAAACACTAATTTAAATTGTGCTTATTGTTTAAACTGAGTTGAACTGAACTAAACTAATTAAACAAATGATGGCTAACTCAATTCAAACAAGGAATATAATTTAAACTGCGTGCTTACCAAACATGAATTTAACTGTGCTCACTATTTAAAATGAGTTAAATTAAATTAAACTGGTAAAAAAACGGGGGCTAAAACACTAAAAAGGTACACACTTGAAATTATACAAAAACACAAGATATAATAAGCATATTTCAATATAACACAAGCCGTTAAAATGAAATTTTTTTTAAAAAATCATTATATACTATCTAAATTTAGCATTAATTACCAATCATAATATTCTTATCAATTAATTTCAAAAAAATAAAATATTTATCCATCACTTGATTTGTTGCGATTGCTTGATTCAGATAAGATGGCTAAAACAACAATACCTATAATAGATAAATATTAAAATATGATGCACGTTCATTTTATAGGTTTGAGTTAAAAATTTAAGTTGGAAAATGAATTTACATAAGAGAAATGATTAATTTCATAAATAGTCCTGAGGTTTATCATCAATTCCAATTTGATTTTTGACTTTTAAAACGTCTCGCGGTTGGTCTTTAAGATTTTACTTTGTTTCAGTTTGAGTCATTTTATTAGCTTAATGTTAAATATTTGACAAAATCTGTTAAAATTAAGGATTAAAATTAGAAACATATAAAATTTAGGGACAAAAACAATTCAAAAAAATAAAAGTTAATTTCCACATATAGTTTCAAAATCTTAGCTGTTTGTAATTTTAGTCTTTAATTTACACAGATTTCATTAGATTTTAACACTTTGTTAACGAAAAGACTGAAACTGAAACAAAATAAAACTTTAATGACTAACTGTGAGACGTTTAAAAAAATTAAGAACTAAGGTGAGATTGAAGATAAACCTAGAGACTATTTATGAAATTAATCATAAAAGAAAAGACTGTAATAAAAAAGAATAATTTAAATTTTTATAAGAAATATTGTAGTAAAAATTTTAAGTTGTGATATGAGACGTGAAAAGAAAGAACGGAGATTTGAGAACCATTTGCGCCAAACAAAAAGTACAAGGGTGTTTTGGTAAACTAACTTGGAATTGAGTCTGAATCTGCCGGTAGTTTAAACTTGAAGGCTACACCTGAGACGCTGTAAATTGTCTGTCCCCTCTGTCAGTGGCACTAAACAAAACCGAAAGAAAGAAAGAAGAAGAAGAAGAAGAAGAAGAAGAGGAGGATCAGAAATACGTCGTCGTTTTGGATCGATGGTGAAGGGTCTACAACAAGGGCAAAACCTCCCAGCGGACGTGACTCAGGTCATCGAACAGCTCGAACGCCATTGCTTGGCTGCCGATGGCTCTCTCGTCTCCAAATCCGCTCACTACGATCTCCAACTCGTACTCTCTCTCTCTCTCGCTAGACTCCAGATTTCTCCGCTTGTTTGGTTCCCTAGAAAATGCGGGAAAAGGAAAAAACTTAAAATCTTGGCTCTTTTACGCTGCAGGCGCGGGAGGAAATGGCGAGGGAAAGGCTGCGGTACCTGGAAGCCATGGTTGTTAGAGATGATAAAAAATATGATTTTGTTTTTCGATTTCTCGTTCCGCTGCTTGTTTGATTGATTGATTGCGTTTTTCGTTTCGTTGTTTTTTTCTTGTAGGCGATATACAGCGAGGCAATTGCAATGACGGAAGAGTACCAGCACGCGGTCTCGGTGGCTAATCTCGGAGGGATTCGAGACTTGCAGGGCTCGTATATGCAACTCGGATTGAAGAATTCCCCTCAGGTTTCGATTAGATAAGTTAAACTTTGGAAAAACTGAATTCTGTTTCATAATCCAAATATGTATTCCGATTAAAAATTTCGATTTTGGTATCAAATATGTCTGTTGATTGTAGAGAAAGTGTGGGGATTGGATGTGATGTTGCCTCTAATTTTAGAAATGTTACGATGCGTCTGTGTAGCTTTAATTAATTGATTGCATTAAATGGGATTTTACATAGATTATAGTTTCATTAAGAATCATTTTATCATGATTTATACGGGTAATTAAGAAAATTGGAGTTATTGCAAGATAATGATATTCTGCGGAAGATTTATAATATTTTATTTTATTTATGCCAAACATTTGTCTTTAAAGTATCCTCAAGAAGACACTGGGCTTATTCAATGGTATAACGATTTTGCTCGTTGGGTTTACTTTGGTATCAAATTAGGTTATGTGGCTTAGAGTTTAGTCTTTATGTAACAGGTGTATGAGACTTTGGAGCATCGTATGGTAGTTGCTGAAGCTGCTCAAAGATTAAGGCTTCCGCTTATCTCCAAAGACGGTGAAGTTCGTGAGGACGAAATCGAGAAATGCAGTATAATGTCGCGAAGTTCCCTCGATAGTACCGGTACCACTGTTACTGTCAGCTCAAGCTCCAATTCAATAAATTACACAACTGCCAATAGCACCACCAGTGCTGCAAATACAAGCCTTTCTGGTGGTGCTGATACGGAACCTGGAGTGGGTGGTGTTCCTAATCGCTTTCTTGGAATTACACCTGCTTATTTATCGCAAACTCAACTCCAACAGAACCCCTTGTCAATGGTACAACAAATGTTTTATGTATCTTTGATAATCTTTCAGTTTAAATCTCTTTGGTCAATTGTTTAAACCATTAGAGACGCTTCTTGTTGCCATTGTAGGATATGACAGAGTACCAGTTATGTCTTTCCCGTGAGATTGAGGCTCGTTTAAAAGCTAAGTGTGACAAGTTGGCTGACGCTTTTATAATGGATGACATAGGTATTTATCTCTCTCTAATATAATGGGTGTATGTGTCTGTGTCTGTGTGTTTTTCCACATATGCGGAATAAATGGCATCGAAATGTTGCTCTAGGTGTTTCCGAGCTGCTCTTTCCTTAGTTTAGATAGGTGTAACTGCATAAACTGATTATACAAATATTGGGCGTTTTCAAGAGAGGGTGGCAGGGTAGAGGCTTGATCAAGTGTTTGGTTACTTTCATTGAATTGATTTACATAGGGCTTGGCATTAATGGATGAGTAAATGTTTATTTTGCATATAGGTAGACATGTTTTGACCAAGAACATATCTAACCTCAGCTTTTATTGATGCAGACTCATCATCCGGACATCAAAATTCAAGTGCTCGAATTCCAGAAAGGTTTGGTTTCCTTCCTTTACAAAAAATTTTTTCCATAATAATTCTTATTTTTGGAAGAATTAAAAGACATGCTATTTGCTGACACATAGCAATTTCGATAAGACAATAATCTGTTGCACAAGTTATATATATTTTTTAAATTCTGTACACTATTCAAAGCAGAGCTCTGGATGTTTGAGTTTCAAGAAGAAAGAATCTGGTTCAGTAGTTTGAAATGGAGGTGAATTGAGGAAGCAAATTTTTGTTTGAAATGACCAATTGCTTAAGATGATCTTTTTATGCCATTTTATAGTCTATTGCCTGATTTATGTTTAATTGTTTATCATACGTCTACCGATGATATATGGTGACCTTCAGTTATTCATCATGTACCCTGAATCATTGTGATAAATTCACTTGTAAATTTTGGTAGATTCTGTTACAACCAATATCCGCTCTGTAACCTAGTATTTATAGCAGCTTATCTTTTAATTTAATCAGAGTAAAATTCATCATCGAAGAGATTGAAAGGGATGAAGCTGCCTTAAGAGAGGACCTGTACGCTGCAGACAGAAAATTTGCTGAATATTATAATGTACGTCCACAGGCAATTCATATTCTTTTCTTGTTATTTTTCTTTCCC